TAGTTGTATTTAGATGTTCTAATTTGTTTCAGAGCTTGGTTTCTAGCTTTTTTGTATTCGTTCCAGTTCTTATCGTTTTTACAATGAAGGTACTTTTTCCATCTGGTTTTCTTGTGCCTGATAGCATGTACTGCCTCCCTGTCAAGTGGTGATCTAAGGGTAAACTTGTCGTTTTTGGTCTTTCTCACTGGTATGTGTTCTGTTATGATAATTGATAAAGTCTCTGCAAAGACCTTCCATGACTCATCTACATTTTTGACAGACAGCAGATCTGGCCAGTTAACATCATTGATTTTCTCTCTGATCTTTGTGTAGTCGCCTTTGTGGTAATTCAATCTCTCTACTTTGCTGGTAACATTTTCAGTGTATAGGCAAAGTTCGAAGTTCAGAGAGAGATGATCGCTTAGTCCAAGTCCGGGTTCATAGTTTATTTCTACTAGCATTCCCTCCTCATTAGTAAAAACAAGATCTAAGGTGGTGGGTTGATAACCTTCTCTAATTCTAGTAGGTTTGGTAGCATGTTGATAAAGGAATTCATTTCTTGTGCATTCTAAAAAATGTGTAGCCAGGTGTTTGTCCAATTGATATCCTTGTAATTAAAGTCCCCCATGATGACTATGTGACTATGACGTTGACGGCTCATGCCGGCAATCACATCGTGTAGAGCAATCGAGTTATCAATGTCACTGTTGGGACTTCTATAGATGGTTCCAATTAGGAGATTGTCGCTGTTCTCGAGATCAATATTGCACCAAACTTGTTCTGAAAAAACGACCATTGGTTGGACTGTTATTGCTTGTAGTTTAGATTTGGCGAATATGATCACACATACCTTTTTTAATGGACATATCTAGGTGGGTGTCGTATCCTGGTATATTATAGAAGTCTGAGTTATTTGTCATACCTGGATTTTTGTAATGGATCTCTGTCAAGGCTATGATGTCAGAGTTGTTGTTAGTGATGAATTCCTCAAGTTCAGATATCTTGTTCTGTGTCAATACATCAACATTTGAATAAAAAATGTGGAGAGAATTCTGTGTTTCAAGATGGCTAAAATTTCCGCTATTTACAGATTTAAAATCCTCGTTAAAACAAGTATCCTAGTCTCTGTTGATGCAAGGAGATGTAGGATGGCTGTAAACTACAGTGGGATGACTGTAAACCAGAGTAGTTTCCTTACCATGGTCGTATTTCGACTCACTCATCAAATGTGACAGTTCTTGAGATAGTGGTATGGGACTTGGAGGTACTTGGTTGGTTGTTTCCATTACACATCTACGGATTCCATTCTTCTAGGTCCGTTGTTTTTTATTTCTACATTGTCACTTTTTGGGGGGATTGTTAGGCCTCTTTTTTCCTCCTTTCCTCTTGCTGGTCATCTTTAAGGTCCCTGGTGAGGATAACAAGGTTTGAATCTGGGATTGACATTTGTTTTTATTGATGGTGCTTTTTCCAGTAATATTTTACGTTGGCTTTTGCTACCTAGAATCACCTTTAATGAACGATTTTTTTCTGTGGATTGTTTGCCAATTCGGAATTGAGTCGCAATTTCTAAATCTTCAATACGAAGTTGTGATGCCAGCCTCCTTAGGTGATTTCCGTTCTAATCCGATTTCTTTTTTCGATTCTGGGAAGTTAAAAAGAATTATATTTGTCTGCCTTTGCTTACGATTATGTAGCTCTTTGGTTCTGTTATCAACCAGGTCTACTATGTCCTTTTTGAGTTCTTCCATAACAGATCCTCTCATGTCAGTTATACCTTCTTCAATTTTAGTATCTTGAGCTGCTTCTACTTCGCTGTTTTTTTTTCTCTTTTCTGATCATTCTAGTCTCTGTTTGGATCTGCATCTTCTGAAGGGAGGTTTCAATCCGAGCCAGTGTGGGTTCCGTCTGGTTACAACATTTACACAACCATTTGAAGTCCTCTAAGTCCCCTGCCTCGAGACACTGGATAAGTCCATTTGACAGCCCTTTGCATTTGTAACAATATATCAGATTACACATGTTACACTCGATGAGTTTAATGTCTAGAATGCAATCACATTTGTTGCAGGCCAACAAAGACTTATCGTTTTCTTTGTCTTTTCCTAACCTTAAGTTCATGTGTAAGGGTACTTGGTTTCAAAGCACACTCCATATTTGAGGGTGGATGTTAGTCTATCTATGGGGATACTGTTTATAATCTTACAGGTGTTGTCTCGAGGGACAGTGTCTACGAGAGTCAGAACTAGAACTGGCAGGGTCACCCTGCCGAGTGCATCCAACTTAGTAGACACTGTATACGTGATCAATCAATTCATATGAGAGTGGCAAGGTTACCTTGCCGACTCACAAATTTGAATATGATCAATGTACACCAGATCGTACCCTACAGTGTTGTCTAAATCTGGGAGAAAGGTCTAGTTATGGCAGGGTTACCCTCCCGATTATAACCAACCAGGTAAACACTGTGTACTAGCCTCATCTTTCAAGGGAGAGTGTTACCTTGCCGACTCGGTTTTGAAAATGGTTAGACTAAACCTGGTCACACCCTACAGTGATGTCCAATACATCACCCTTTATCTGTTCTGTGGAGACGCAACAGTAGACATCAACATCACGAACCAGACGTCCAAGCGTCTGCTAGTTTATTTCCGGGATGGATACCGTCCCTATAAAGCTTCAAATTGATGCTGTACCGCGTGAGCGGGTAAGACAATTGTTGAAGAGGAGGCTGTTGACATTGTTTTCCATTTTTTTGTGTCTTTCAGCTGGTTAATTCGCCGGTTTAATTCACGATCCTGGAGTGTTGCTAGGTCCGTGTCTGCTGGGTATCCCTTCCACTCATTCCAGGCTGAAATTGAGTATTGTGGACAGTCGATAATTTTCAGAGTTACCGAGTCCAATTTAGAGACGAGTTAATTTTTATAAGTTCGTCAATAATATTTTCGACGACCGAATCATCCCAACACGCTAAATGTAGTTTTTTACTATGGTTGTCCTTGTTGGATAGATCACATGTTCCGCTCCATAAATACATCGTAATGTTAGAGTGTCTCCTTCTGGCCTTGTGTATACGATCCCTGATAGTAGCACACAACTGCTTAGTAGTGGCTCCAGGTGAGCACCATAATTCACATGGATAAACGTAGACCTCGGGGTATTTAGCTATGTAGGCATTACGTAGCGAAAGACCTTTGCTGTCTGAAACAAGTATCGGTTTAGATCTCAGCCTGTTTGTTTCAACCTCCTTTCTATCCAAGACAGAGCTGATTAGTTTGTCTATTTTGTGGGCGCTCATCTGTCGCGAGGGTCAAGACGGTAGAACTAATAGTCTCATTATGATAGAGAACGGGTCTCTAGAGGTGACAATGGTACAAATATATGATTGAGGACACGTAAGACCTAAGGTAACCTAAAAATAAGGTGAAGTTACGTAATGATCATTCAGTTGAAAAATGAGAGAAGAATATATATATGTTTTTTTTTTAAATGGCGGCACGTTACATTTTGTTAGGTAAATATACTTACAGGGTAGCATGCGAATTTTGTACAGAAAATATAATATCTATAGCCAAAATACATATCTATAAGGTTGAATAAACAATCAATAGACGTACTCATCACAGAACCCGTGAAACTTGGATTCTTCCTTCTTTACACACAGTTGTCGATCAAGGTTATAAGTACAATATTTTCTCTTTATTACATTGTTTGTATTGCAATAGTGTTAGAAATACACTTGTGGGAAGTGGTGTATGTAAACAGATATGCTGTGTTGTGATATCCCTGTAAAGCAACACCTAAAATATATGATGATACGACAGTGATATTGTAACTTTAACCTTTTCAGTGCCAGGGGGCCGATGGGGGCCGATCACATGTATCTCAGAGTGCCAGGGGGCCGATGGGGCCGATTGCATAGGTCTCAGAGTGTCAGGGGGCCGATCGGGCCGATTACAAAGGTCTCAGAGTGCCAGGGGCCGATGGGGCCGATTCTACATGTATATAAATAGAGTTTGTTGTTTATTTTGTTGAATGTTTCTATATCACATGTCACCTCTTCTTGATTGGTATCAAAATTATGACGTTGGGTTACATGACGTCTTTCATCGCGAAAAATGATGAAGTAAAAGGTATGTAATATTGACGTCATCTTTAGTCAAAGTGACGTCATTATTGTTTCGAAAGCATCTGTAGTAATTGCCGTTCCATGGATGCGGATGTTTCCACCTGAACCCGACAGGGGTCCTGGCTTTTACGAAGCTCCTAGGCTTCTTCATGTGCCACCCAGTGATACTCGTCCATTTTCATATTTCATGACTCTTTTTCCCGAGACACTGATGAAGGAAATAATTCGGCACACCAACAGGTAATAGTTTACATAAACTATTCATTCTTCATAAATCATGAAATAGTTTGAGTTCAGGTACCTAATTCTGTTTTAAAAACAGTGGTCGCACAGGTCTTGAAAACCCCTTAAATTAGATATATGTCTTTAAAAAGCCCTTGAAAATGACCAAAAGCGTGAATAAGCATTAAAATTAATACAGGTCAAAAACGCCGAAAACACAATTTATAAATATAAGAATGAATAGACAGAAAGATAAGCTTATACATGTAGATGTAGCTAGAATATAGAAACACACGTAACAATCCAGTTTATATGTTTAAACACGAAACCGTATATATTGTTAAGGCATTCCTCAATTTACACCAACCACGATTGTTATCGCACAACGTTCGTCTATCGTGCGCACAGATTTGCGCAAGCAATGATCGTCTAGTTATTTATCGTTCTCACATCGTGCACACATCGTGCGCACACCACACATCGTGTAACGTTGTGCGATCCCACAACTGTAAGATTCCTGTGATCACACATCCGACACAACATATTAATTGTTGATTATCAAATACAATTATTATTTAAAACGGGACAAATATGACAGACTCTCTGCACATCATACGGCCATTACATTTTAGTAAATGTCAATAGTGAGACTGGAGTTAATACTCACATAAAATTCCCAGTAGATATCCGACAGAGGCCATTTTGTATCTGCGCTGTTTCTATTCACGAGTCTCGATTTATGACCCGGGTTTTTTGCATTCTTTTCACTGTATTCAAGAAACACTACGTCATAAGAAAATGACGTCATAATCACAACGTTCTATTTAGCGCGTAAATTGTTACTGTATACATATTTTTTCGCGCCAAATCCAGGACATTCTTGTGGCCACATGAATATAAATAAGAACAAAAATAGTCAATTATAATTGTTCGTATTACATTTAAGGTAAGGCCTGGCTTGACGTGACATTTATTTCAAGGGGCTGTCTATTACAGTGGATGTTTAGCCGGATCTCACGTGGCTGTCTGCGCCAACTAAAGCGGATGTTTACTTGGATCGCACGTGGATGTCTAGATCTGCGCCTACTAAAGTGGATGTTTACTTGGATCGCAAGTGGATGTCAAGATCTGCGCCTACTAAAGCGGATGTTAACTTGGATCGCACGTGGATGTCTGCGCCTACTAAAGCGGATTTTTACTTGGATCGCACATGGATGTCTGCGCCTACTACAGTGGATGTTTACCCGGATCCCACGTGGCTGTCTGCGCCTACTAAAGCGGAAGTTTACCATGATCGGACGTGACTGTCTGCGCCTACTACAGTGGATGTTAACATGGATCCGTTTTCCTCCCCCGCCCTTTACAGCGCAGGAAAATTGGATTAAGTCTCCTTTTTTAACATTAAAATATATACTCGTCTATACGTCTTTAGCGGGACTGCGGAATACGGTACTGTAATACTCGTCCATACGTCTGTAGCGAGACTGCGTAATACAATACTGCAATACTCGTCGATACGTCTGTAGCGGGACTGCGTAATACGATACTGTAATACTCGTCCATACTGTTCTGTAATACTCGTCTACGTCTGTAGCGGGACTGCTGAATACGATACTGTAATACTCGTCCATACGTCTGTAGCGGGACTGCGTAATACGATACTGTAATACTCGTCCATACGTCTGTAGCGGGACAGCGTAATACGATACTGCAATACTCCTCCATACTGTTTTGTAATACTCGTCTATACATCAGTAGCGGGACTGCGGCATACGATACTGTAATACTCGTCCATAGGTCTGAAGCGGGACTGGGTAATACGATACTGTCATACTCGTCGATACATCTGTGGCGGGACTGCGAAATACGGTACTGTAATATTCGTCCATACGTCTGTAGCTGGATTGCGTAATGCGATACTGTAATACTAGTCCATACTGTTATGTAATACTCGTCCATACGACTGTAATACTCGTCGATACGTCTGTAGCGGGACTGCGTAATACTGTACTGTAATACTCGTCGATACGTTTGTAGCGGGACTGCGTAATACGATACAGTAATACTCGTCTATACGTTTATAGTGGGAGTGCGGAATACGGTACTGTAATACTCGTCCATACTGTTCTGTAATACTCGTCTATACGACTGAAGCGGGACTGCGGAATACGATACTGTAATACTCGTACATACGTCTGTAGCGGGATTGCGTAATACGATACTGTAATACTCGTCTATACGTCTGTAGCGGGATTGCGTAAAACGATACTGCAATACTCGTCATTACCGTTTTTTAAAACTCGTCTATACGTCTGTAGCGGGACTGCATAATATGGTACTGTAATACTCGTCCATACGTCTGTAGCGGGACTGCGGAATACGGTAATGTAATACTCGTCCATACGTCTGTAGCGGGATTGAGGTATCCGGTACTGTAGTCCTCGTCCATACGTCTGTAGCGGGACTGCGTAATACTATACTGTAATACTCGTCGATACGTCTGTAGCGGGACTGCGTAATACGATACTGTAATACTCGTCCATACATGTATGTCTGTAGCGGGACTGCGTAATACGGTACTGTAATACTCTACCATACTGATCTATAATACTCGTCGATACGTCTGTAGCGGGACTGCGTAATACTATACTGTAATACTCGTCTATACGTCTGTAGCGGGATTGTGGAATACGATACTGTAATACTCGTCTATACGTCTGTAGCGGGATTGTGGAATACGATACTGTAATACTCGTCTATACGTCTGTAGCGGGATTGCGGAATACGATACTGTAATACTCGTCTATACGTCTGTAGCGGGACTGCGTAATACTATACTGTAATACTCGTCCACACGTCTGTAGCGGGACTGCGTAATGCCTATACTGTAATACTCGTCCATACTGTTATGTAATACTCGTCTATACATCTGTAGCGGGACTGCGTAATACGATACTGTAATACTCGTCCATACATGTATGTCTGTAGCGGGACTGCGTAATACGGTACTGTAATACTCTACCATACTGATCTATAATACTCGTCGATACGTCTGTAGCGGGACTGCGTAATACTATACTGTAATCCTCGTCGATACGTCTGTAGCGGGACTGCGTAATACGATACTGTAATCCTCGTCCATACATGTACGTCTGTAGCGGGACTGCGTAATACGGTACTGTAATACTCGTCCATACGTCTGTAGCGGAAATTCGGAATACGGTACTGTTAAACTCCTCCATACGTCTGTAGCGGGACTGCGTAATACTATTCTGTAATACTCGTCGATACGTCTGTAGCGGGACTGCGTAATACTATACTGTAGTACTCGTCGATACGTCTGTAGCGGGACTGCGGAATACGGTACTGTAATACTCGTCCATACGTCTGTAGCGGGAATTCGGAATACGGTACTGTTAAACTCCTCCATACGTCTGTAGCGGGACTGCGTAATACTATACTGTAATACTCGTCCATACGTATGTAGCGGGACTGCGGAATACGGTACTGTAATACTCGTCCATACGTCTGTAGCGGGACTGCGTAATACGATACTGTACTACTCATCCATACGTCTGTAGCGGGACTGCGGAATACGGTAATGTACTACTCATCCATACGTCTGTAGCGGTACTGCGTAATACTATACTGTAATACTCGTCCATACGTCTGTAGCGGGACTGCGGAATACTGTACTGTAATACTGGTCCATACGTCTGTAGCGGGACTGCCTAATACGATACTGTACTACTCATCCATACGTCTGTAGCGGGACTGCGTAATACGATACTGTAATACTCGTCCATACGTCTGTAGCGGGACTGCGGAATTCTGTACTGTAATACTGGTCCATACGTCTGTAGCGGGGCTGCCTAATACGATACTGTACTACTCATCCATAGCGGGACTGCGTAATACGATACTGTAATACTCGTTCATACGTCTGTAGCGCGACTGCGGAATACGGTACTGTAGTCCTCGTTCATACGTCTGTAGCGGGACTGCGTAATACTATACTGTAATACTCGTTCATACTTCTGTAGCAGTCCTCGTCCATACGTCTGTAGCGGGACTGCGTAATACTATACTGTAATACTCGTTGATACGTCTGTAGCGGGACTGCGTAATACTATCCTGTAATACTCGTCCATACGTCTGTAGCGGGACTGCGTAATACGATACAAGTTCAAGTCATAACATATATACAAAACAATACAGAGACAACATACAATATGATACACACACACATACACACCTAAGCACTCACACACACACACACACATACACAATTCAACTTTTATTCCTTAAGTTTGACAACTTATTGGATAACTATACCTTACAATAAATTACAAATGATATATACGTATATGTATTGTGCAATCAACACTCATTATCACTCCCACATCATTATTGTGCACTCAACAATCATTAACGCTCTCACATCATCATCATCATCATCATCATCATCATCACCATCCTCTTCATCATCATCATCATCAGCATCATTTACATCTGACATTAACAACAACAACATGTATTCCGTAATGATACAAATGTCAATAATACATAAATAGACATTTATATAAATTATATTGATGTGCATGTTTACGTCACTCGTGCCTTATTTGCCTCAAAAATGTATCTAGCAAGTTTACGAATAACGCTGATATTATCAGCACTTAGTAACTGTACAAGTTTAAACATTGAAGGATTTCGCCAGTAATATGGTTTTATGTATTTTACTCTCAGAATATGAAAATTGTTACATATTAAAATAAAATGATATTCGTCTTCAATATCTGAAATGCAGCTCATACAGTGTCTTTGTTCTCTCGTTATGTTATTGTATCTACCAGTCTCAATAGCTAAATTATGTGCAGAAAGACGAAGTTTAGATAAACAGATCCGGTATTTCATTGGAATATACTTTGTCAAATAGTATTGAAGAGTATGGTGATTTGCTAAGTGCTTATATAAAATACATTTAGGTGAGGTTTCTAATAGCCCTCTCAGATATTGTTGACTTTGATCAAATATTCTTTGCTTTATCATGTACAAAATACTTTTATGGTTATATGAATAATAATTTGTCCATACATCTGCGAATCCGAGAGAAAAAAGACAATGTTTGACATACTTAACCCAGTTAAAGCAATTGCCTGTATTGCTACTACTTAAAAAGGAATACGCAGTTTGCAAAATACAATTTTTCGAATCCATTAGTTTTAACCAATATTTTATCATTCTGAATTTTCTTATATTTTCCAAAGGATGTCGACCTAATTCAAAATAAACCATTGCGTTGCAAGTCGACTTCTTAACTTTTAAAATCTTCTTACAAAAGTGTAGGTGTAACCTCTCAATATCCGTACCTTTTGTAGATCCCCATACTTCACATGCGTAATGCAATATACTACAAACATACGTATCAAATAAATGCAATAACGTTGTACAGTTTAGGCTCAAGTTAGAAGAGCTTGAAAAAAGAGCATACATGGCCTTTCTTCCTTGGTCAGATAACTGTTTCTGTATATGATTAAATTTATTATTGAATTTCAGTTTTACTCCTAGGTAGCTGAAAACATCTACAACTTCCACCTCCAAACCATTATACATCCATCTTTCTCTATCTCGTATACTACCACCGTTTCTAAATACAACTACTTTGGTTTTCTCAGTGTTAACTGTTAATTTCCATTTAGTAGAATACACATTCAGATTATCTAAAAGACTCTGTAAACCTTCAATAGTTTCGGAAAACAATACTAAGTCATCTGCATACATTAACAAAAACAAACTTTATTCACCAAAGTCATAGTCCGTTGCACCATTTTCAATAAATGAGGTTTCAAAATCATTAACAAAAACTGAGAACAGTAAAGGCGATAATATTTCCCCTTGCATTAATTCCAACACTGCACTCAAAATAATTAGAACATTTACCGTTAGTTGATACACAAGATTTAACTGATTTGTAAAATGATTTTATGACGGATAACATTTTCCCTCGAATACCAAGCTTAGTCAGCTTACGCCATAAGCTTAATCTATCAACAAAATCAAACGCTTTGCGAAAGTCCACAAAGCAACAGTACAAACGTTTCTTTGAAGATAAAGTTTTCGTTATAATAGAATGTAATGCGAACATTGCATCAATCGTGCTAAGTTCTGGACGAAATCCGAATTGCGCATCAGTAATAAGGTCATATTTTGTACACACATCTAAAATACGTTTATTTAGTACAGAGGTAAACAGTTTACAAAGACAACTAATTAAACTGATACCTCTAAAGTTATTAGGGTCATTTAAAACACCTTTCTTACGGACAGGAATAATTATGGCTGACGACCAATTAAAAGGAAAATAACAAGATTCTAGTATAGAATTAAACGAAGGTTGGTGAGGCTGAGGGTACGCCGAGCTTTGTCCGGGCATTTGGTGTGTAGTCGGAGGTTGGGGAGGCTGAGGGTACGCCGAGCTTTGTCCGGGTATTTGGTGTGTAATCGAAGGTTGGTGAGGCTGAGGATACGCCTAGCTTTGTCCGGGTATTTGGTGTATAGTGGGAGGTTGGTGAGGCTGTGGATACGCCGCGCTTTGTCCGGGTATTTGGTGTGTAGTCGGAGGTTGGTGAGGCTGAGGATACGCCGAGCTTTGTTCGGGTATTTGGTGTGTAGTCGGAGGTTGGTGAGGCTGATGGTACGCCGAGCTTTGTCCGGGTATTTGGTGTGTAGTCGGAGAAGGATGATAATCCACTGATTGGCCAGGGAGAACGTTAACGTACACCGGTTGTTGTTGTTGTTGAATTGGAGGACACGCCGGTCCTGGTTTGGGGGTAGTTGGTTGGATTGCTATCCTGTTTCCTAATTAAGAGAAAGGGGGATAGGTTACTCCTTTAATTCTGAAATTCATAATCAATGTTTCTTGAATTTATAAATATTGGTCAAGTTATCGGGAGGGTTATAAATATGAATGACCGATTAAGTAAACGTTGTTTTAAGATGGGTTGGGTTGGGTTTTCTTTAAATATCAATAGGATGATCATTTACAATCCGAATGTGTGTACGTAGATATGGTCAGCAGATTCATGCAGAATAATATACTTAGTAAAGTGCTAAACAATTGCCAAACATTTGAAGTTACAGTGTAAGTCTATCTCAGACTGTAACTCTACATTGCAGTATTTCTACAGTGTGCACTCATATGTACTGACTACAGTATAAAGTAAGCTGTACTGAGTACAGTATCAAATAATCAGTACTGACCACAGATGATATATACTGACTACATTATAAAGTAATCTGTACTGACCACAGATTATATGTATTGACTACAGTATAAGGTAAGCTATACTGACTAAAGTATAAAGAAAAACATACTGACTAAAGTATAAAGAAAAACATACAGACTACAGTATAAAGTGAGCTGCACTGACCACAGATCATATATACTAACCACAATATAAAGCAAGCTGTCGTGACTACTGTAAAAAGTAAGCTACATGTATACTGACTACAGTATAAAGTAAGCTTTACTAATTACAGTATAAAGTAAGCTGTACTGACCACAGATTTTATTTACTGACTACAGTATACAGTAAACTGTACTGACCCCAGATTATATATACTGACTACAGTATAAAGTGAGCTGCACTGACCACAGATCATATATACTAACCACAATATAAAGCAAGCTGTCGTGACTACTGTAAAAAGTAAGCTACATGTATACTGACTACAGTATAAAGTAAGCTTTACTAATTACAGTATAAAGTAAGCTGTACTGACCACAGATTTTATTTACTGACTACAGTATACAGTAAACTGTACTGACCCCAGATTATATATACTGACTACAGTATAAAGTGAGCTGCACTGACCACAGATCATATATACTAACCACAATATAAAGCAAGCTGTCGTGACTACTGTAAAAAGTAAGCTACATGTATACTGACTACAGTATAAAGTAAGCTTTACTAATTACAGTATAAAGTAAGCTGTACTGACCACAGATTTTATTTACTGACTACAGTATACAGTAAACTGTACTGACCCCAGATTATATATACTGACTACAGTATAAAGTAAGCTGTACTGACTACAGTATAAAGTAAGCTGTACTGACCCCATATTTTATTTACTGACTACAGTATAAAGTAAGCTGTACTGACCCCATATTTTATTTACTGACTACAGTATAAAGTAAGCTGTACTGACCCCAGATAATATATACTGACTACAGTATAAAGTAAGATACATGTATACTGACTACAGTATAAAGTAGGCTGTACTGACTACAGTATAAAGTAAGCTTTACTGACTACACTATAAAATAGGCTGTACTGACCCCAGATTATATATACTATAATAATAATGATGGTTATAATATCGACATTTTATATAACGCCCCATCTAGCTAGATTAAGCCACTCTAAAGCGCTTTACACTTACATAGAAATATAATTCATACAATCAGTAACCACTAGACCTATGCCACCTGATTTTTTTTTATGAGACTTGAAGATGGAGTAACGAGTAACACTGACTGTCGAGAATGGATTTGACCATATTGTAACAGCCAACATTTTGGGATTGTTTTTTTGATATTTTATTTTTTTAAGTTTGATATTTTTGAAGATATTAACAAGCTGATCTATATATTATTTGATATAATATCAATTGAACTGATCTTTCAATAATAGATGAATAACTTAATTATAAAGCACAATTAATTAAATTTCACAACACGCATATTAGTATATATCTTAGTCATTTACTGAGGAAACCAAATATGTAAGTATTTATTAGTACCTTACAGGTGTATAAGTGATAAACAAAAATCATTTTTAAAGAATCAATGTGGTTTTAGAAATAAAATAGTATTATTGTTTATTTGAATAACCTGGAATACGAAATCCAAAAGGAATTTTTCGAATGAAGACAGCTATGTTTAGGAGTTTGAAAAGTTTGGGAATAAGCGGAAATATTCATGTATCGATTATATTCATTTAAAAAAATCACACTTTTCAGGTGAGCATTGGCCATGTTTTTATAATATAACAATTTCTTACTGAACATGTCAAATCCCTACAGGTATTTTTGACCCAGTTGGTGGTCACGTGCCACACAAAATTAGGGAAACAAAATTGACCGGTGAATACATTGATTTTTGGCTGCTAGTAAAAACCGGGGATGAATTGGTACAGCACGTGTCTGATTTTGATGGCGATTTGGTGGTAACAGATGGTTGTTTAACCGCTGTCAAACAAAAAGGCAAACTCATAACTATTATTCATGTCTGGACAAAAACCTTTATGTTCTTTATGAGTATTGTGCTAGAAAAATGGCCAGATAAAGCTCAAGAACTTGTCAAGTACATGCATGATGCCCGTCTTGCCGCTGAACGGGGTTCCGGTCTCGGGTGGGCAAAGTCTGACGAGCAATACAGACTCCGAAAAGTCCGGCAACCTCACACATCTTGGGGGTCTTGGATAATGAACTTTGGCTTATGTTTGTGGCCGCAAGTCAGAATCAGTCATTAATCAAAGTCAAGGGTCCCATGGCCAGTATTCTAAAGGTCAAAGGGGGGTAACTCCCACCAACAAGGATCAACATTTTCAAAAATGGGATAAACCAGTCTGCTGGGCCTATGACAAGGGTGAGAAATGTCGATTCGGCACCATGTGCCGCTTTAGTCACACCTTTTCAAAATCTGTCAGTGCCCTTCCGGTTGCAAAGTGTACCAAATAGATTAAAATCTGAAGACGATTTACATGTATTGTCTCCTTTATTTATTTTGGCCAAAAACACCAATTAAAGTGAACATGATGGAACATTCTCTGAGAAATTATCCTTTACAAGACAAAGCACAGGAGGTAGTCAGGGGATTTAAATTTGGATTCAAACTCCAGTATAGTGGCCTACGGGTCCCAATTTTTTTCTAACAATTTTAAAAGTGTCAAGGAGGCCCCGGAAGTGATGAGAGGGAAACTTTTAGGCTACTACCCATTTGGCCGGCAGATTTTGACCAGTTAGGTTTTTGTTTTGAGGATAATTTCTACTTTGACAAATGCCTCCCCATGGGAGCCTCAATTAGTTGTACTTTATTTGAGAAATTTGCCACAGCCCTTCATTGGTTTAGTACTTCAAGGAGTCATGATTCTAATATTTTGCATTACTTAAATGACTTCTTAATGGGTGGGGAAAACAATTCAGAACAGTGTGCTCATTCTTTGAAAACATTTCAAGACTCTTGTGCGTTATGGGCTGTTCCCTTGGCACAGGAGAAAACTGTCGGCCCTACACAGGTACTCACATTTTTGGGTATTGAGTTTGATACTATTCTATTCTATTCTATTGCAAATGCGGCTCCCTGCTGATGCACATTCCTTGTAGAGATAATGTAATCGCTGACTCTCTTTCCCGTTGTGATTGGCAGCGCTTCAGGAGAGTGGCTCCCACAGAGGACAAGCATCCAGCACCAATACCAGACCATCTACGGGCGATATAGAGAGTAGATAAGGAGCTTCATCTTTATAAAAAATATGGAGTCCATCTGTCTGGACTTGGCAACCAGATATACCTCAATAATGTCAGTTTCAGTTGGATTGATTTACCGATAAATACCAAAGGTATCATACTAGTTGTATGTTGTTGACTCCCTGACTTGTAATTAAGTGTCTTCCTATCTAAACTTTAATTATCAGTGGCATTTCAAAATTTTCATTTGATACAGATTTAAAGCCATTATAGTTATTAGTATGATTTAGAACTGAGAATATTACGATCTATTTATTTAACTTCATATACTAGAGTTGAATATGTACATGATTGTTCTGTCAGCTGTATATGAAACCAGACTTGTAGTTATTAAATGTATGTAGCTGTGGGGGTACTGCCAACATTAGCCAGCATTGATCTACTAACTTCATACAATTGATTTCTTTTATGTATTGAATCATTAAGCTAAAGATAGTGTGGTGCTTGTATTTTGCAGGCTGGTAAATTTACACAACAGAGGAAAATCATCAATGTGCATATTTGCAATCTGGAGTGATTATGATGTCATCGTTTGATGATAACTTCAATATTCACTCTTTCATTGTAAATGTAGCCAACCTTTTTTACCAATAAATTATGTGACGTTAATCAGAAGTCTGTTGTTTTATCTATTGATACCCTATAGGATTATTTAGGACTATTTCCTCCCTTTTTGTGCTCACAAATAAGATTTTGGGGACATAACTTCTGACTTGCTGAAGAGAGCAAGGACATTTAAGTGATATACATGTGCAGTGTATGTGGGATGGTAAGGCAATGTGTTACATACCACTATTTGATCACATTATGTACCACTATGGGGTCTGTATAGTCAGGGTCACATTATGTACCACTATGGGATCTGTATAGTCAAGGTCTCATTATGTACCACTATGGGATCTGTATAGTCAAGTTCTCATTCATTATGTACCACTATGGGGTCTGTATAGTCAGGGTCACATTATGTACCACTACGGGGTCTGTATAGTCAGGGTCACATTATGTACCACTATGGGATCTGTATAGTCAAGGTCTCATTCATTATGTACCACTGTGGGGTATGTATAGTCAAGGTCTCATTCATTATGTACCACTACGGGGTCTGTATAGTCAGGGTCACATTATGTACCACTATGGGATCTGTATAGTCAAGGTCTCATTCATTATTTACCACTGTGGGGTATGTATAGTCAAGGTCTCATTCATTATGTACCACTACGGGGTCTGTATAGTCAGGGTCACATTATGTACCACTATGGGATCTGTATAGTCAAGGTCTCATTCATTATGTACCACTATGGGGTCTGTATAGTCAAGGTCTCATTATGTACCACTATGGGGTCTGTATAGTCAAGGTCTCATTATGTACCACTATGGGGTCTGCATAGTCTAGGTCACATTATGTACCAATGTGGGGTCTGTATAGTCAAGGTCTCATTATGGACCACTATGGAGTCTGTATAGGCAGGGTCTCATTTATTATGTACCACTATGGGGGCTATATAGTCTAGGTCACATTATGTAACAATGTGGGGTCTGTATATTCAAGGTCTCATTATGGACCACTATGGAGTCTGTATAGGCAGGGTCTCATTTATTATGTACCACTATGGGGTCTGTATAGTCAAGGTCTCATTATGTACCACTATGGGGTCTGTATAGTC